GAGTAGGGGTGTTACCCCATCGTCCTGGCCACATTTACCCCTGGCCTGTCACGATTATAGTCCCCCCTCCTTAAGGGTGCTCCAGCCCTTTCACTTAAGACTTTATTCTCTGCACCTGTTCCCTATTCCCAGCCCACCTTAAAAGCCAGGCGCTGATGCTCATCCTGGCTCTGCATCTGGTTTTCGCACCGTGCGAGTCCGGGACCTGGAAGGGCCTGGTCCCGTTAAGGTTTTAATCTCGGTTCCCGTTCTTGTTCCCTGTCCGCCGGTTCCAACCGAGCCTTCGTGTTTTAATTCCGTGTTTTGATGGATCTCCTGGTTTTGGACTTACCTTTGTGTTTTGGATACTCTCTAAGGACTACTCTTTTGGATTTTTCGCCTCGGCCACACCTCCCCCGTGCACCAGCGCACCTTGGACACGCCCCCCTGTCTTTAGCCCCGTATTCCTGCATGATGTTTCCCCAGTGTTTCCCTACTTCTTCGGATTGTGTCTTCCGCATAGGGTCCAGAAAGAACTGTTCGTTACACCTACAGACTTCTGAGAGGGAAAAAACTCTCTGCTCCATCTTACTTTGTGGCTGTTACCGTGAACATGCCCTGATACACATGTGCTTAGGTGTGGACAGCATGTGGTTGCAGTAACTGGATTAATTTGTTGTTAGCTGCTATTTTATATACCTGTAGAGATTGGTTATGGAGTTAATACGAGTGGTGGATAAACCATGTGACCACAATGATTAGCCCTTTCAGTGGATTTACTATGACTCCAGATGTGAATTCCACTTTAATTCTGAGAGCCACTTAATTTGGGCCTTACTGGCAGTGATAAGAAGGACTTTTTGACTCAATTTCTAATTTTGTAATTAAATTCAAATCATTAAAATGTCACTCATGTTACAAAAGGTGTCATCTTACAACACACTTTGACCCACTAGCTAATTGCAAACAGTCATCAGATGGGATTTTATTCTACACTTTTAATGTAACTACCCTTAGTCTTGTGTAAAAGTCATGGTGACAGCTGAGTTAGATCCTCCGACCCCAGGCATATAAGGGACACGCTTAAGCAATCACGTGGAAAGGAGTGAAACTGAAGCACACATATCCAAAGAAAGTGTACTATTGTGATAATTTAAGCTACAGTACATGAATATAATTATATCGTTATTAATTAATTAATTTCATATTATATTCCCTATGAATCAAATTGTAACAATAAAAACTTCAATACAAAAAAATAATAGATCTTTCACATATGGATTTACATCAGGGATACTTACAGAGAGGTTGTGAGCACCAAACATCTGAATGGTTCCTGCACAAGAAAGATATTTCCTGTTATAACAGCAAGTTATTTAACAGAAGCTTTTTCTTTTACTAAGAGATCAAGTGCAGAGGATGAACACATAGCATTGGCAACTTTATATGCTTTTTGCTGAAAATGGAAAACTTCAAAGTCTGTCTGGGTCTTTATGAGCCACAAAACAATTGAGGGCTGTTAAAGGTAAAATGATTACAAATAAAAAAAATGAAATGTATTATTTTCAATTTTTATTTAAAATAAGAGAAGAAATATCTGGCTAAACCTCAGGAGCACAAATGAAGGAACGTGAAGCTCCCTTTAATGGTATTCACTCGTCAGGCCTGGTATCCATCAAAACTAACACTACAGTGGCCATCTGCATTAAGAGGTTCTAATGTAGTTATGTGGAAAAGTACTGTATATATTAGTAATGGAAGCTATATATTATAGACTTACAAATAAAGGTTAATTCCATACTGAAAAGTGGAAAAGGAAAAACTTTGGGTGCAGAAACATTACTGTACTTCTTCTGTTGTAAGAGGTATAGTAATTGTAATACAGATAATACAATCAATAAAACTGGCAGGCTTAGCAGAAACCCAGCAGGTATCATTATGAGGCCAAAAACGTGCTAGACGGTGAGAAAAATCAGTGTAGGACATGGTTAAAGTTCATATAATTCCTTAACCCATTACATTTACATTTACCTCCATAATTATTGGATAAACAATAAATACATATAAATTATAATAATAAATATTGGATAAATATCAACAATACACGGTGTATAAAAACATGTAATGTGTTATATATTATGCTAAAAATGAAAAATAATATATATATATTCTTGTTTTCTAATGCAATTGTTCACATAAAGTTTTATTAACAAGTAATACATTAATTTCTCATAAACATCCACATAAATACAATATAAAAAAATTAAATCTGCATTAACATGCTACTTTTTTATGTTAATCTCAGTCTTAAGGAACTATATTGTAGCCTCCTCTTCCTCTTCACTGGGGTATAAAAATGAGGTAAGATGAATGGAGATAAATGGTTAGTGAGCTTCATACAGTACATCTGGCAGTGGGTCCAAAAAATAAATATAACACTCACTACTATTAGGGCAATAAAAAATAGTTTAAAACCACAGGAACAGAAGTAAACTTCCTGGTAGAGGCAAAGAAAAGTCCACCGGCCACAGTTGGAGAATCACAGAACTTGGTTGCATTTAGTGGTCACCATGTCTCCAAATCTGCAATTAGATTCCACGTCAATGCCAGTAGGTTGTTTGGAGGGGCTTTTGAAAAAAGCACTTATTAAGAACAACCAACACATAAGTGCTTGTAATTTGCTAAATGATATTGGCATTGACACCTGGATTTTAAACCAGATGTCGGGGGCAGATGAGGTGAAAATACTACTCTTTGGCAATGTATGCCAAGAGTGGCTTTGGCATCAAGAGGAGGATGTGTATGTAGAAAAGAATACCAAACCTACTGTTAAATATGGTGGTGCATCTTTAATGTTATGTTAATGTTGACCCCTGTTTAGGTCTTCAGCATCATGACCTCTACCAAGCACAAGGATATTTTAGCCAAAAACCTGGCTACCTCTGCCAGGTGGTTTAAACTTGGTTGTAAGTGGTTCTTTCAGCAACACAATGATGCCAAGCACACATCAAAATGTGTGACCACATAATCCTACATTTTGCAACATTGTTTATTGAGAAATGGTATAATCCCTGCCAATGTGCTCTCATTAAACTTTATAGAAAAAAGGTTCAGTGCTATTATGCTTGAAAGGAGAGGATGCACAAAGTACTGAAAACAGGGATGCCACTAATTAGAGCACCTAATTTGTTTAAGAAATAGATTTATAATTTGATCTATGTGTAAGTTTGTTTGATTTCATTGAATGATTAATAAGGTAATATATATAAATATTCCATATGTTGGAAAATGTTAGTTAATCTTTATTCAAGGTGCAGATAATATTTGGAGGAGACTTTATAGCCATTTGTGACTGAAGAAATAAGGAAATATCAAGAGAGGCACAGACATCAGACAGAGTTTGAAAAGAGGCTAATGTTAAAGTAGTTTTAGAAAGGGAGTAAGTCCCTCAGACTAATTCCACTGTATGCAAGAGGAATTCAGGAGTAAACCCAAAACTCAGAATCTGGAACTGATGGGTTAGGATGCAGTAGTATGTAAGTATTTGTGCAGAGTGAGGTGATTGGAAAGGGAATGCTCATGATTCCAGAGTCTTGGATCTATAGACTGATACTCAGCAGGTAGCTGAGGATTTCCTTGAAGAGTTCCAGAACATCTAATGTGACCGTTG